AAGCGGGTACAAAAACCCATAACCTTAAAACGAGCGACTTTCATGTCCACGTAGTGTCAAGGCGTTTTGTATGGCATTAAGGTGGTAACACATAGCTTTTGATATTAATAAAGGAATAATTAAAATCCTATACACTTTTACAATATATGATGTGCAAATCGAACATCATTGAAACAGAAAGACTTTCACCTCCGTAAGTGCCTTTCCCCAAGTCATGTCTCAACTCACTTTTTGGCTGATCCCGATCACTGAAAGATCTACGGTGGGTTACTGTATCTTCTTTCTTGCCCTGGATAAGGTTGTCCTTGTCACTCTCTACCAACGACGACTATACGAGGAGTCAAGAAACTTTACTTTAATACGAGGTACAGTTTTATGAATTCTATATATACCGAAGATTCTGTTTAAACAACCGTGATTGATTCATCCTGTAGTAAGATACTCTGGCTGAAAAGACTGAAAAGGATGAGTTGTATCACCCATAAATGTAATTGAAACCATTTTTATATATAGCTGGAATAGTAACAACCTCGGGACCTCAACCTCAACCTTGAGACATCGTAAAAATAACAAAAATGGAAACCGTCGCCAACTTAATTTCCGTTTTTCATTATCCAATGTTGTTTAAGAAGACTAGATAAGTATGTTGGTTTTTAGACCGAAACAACGTTAGCGTTGAATAGGGGGTTGGGAGGGGGCTTGCTTTAGTTCTGTTTAGATGAGATACTGACAATAGTATGGCGCAAAAGTTAAAAAATGGCGATGAAAATGTCTCAGTAGTGTTGTCCAAGGTTGTGGCTCTCATCAAGTTGGCCAACTCCACAACATACGGCCTTAAATCGTGGCGGTTTACAGCACCAAAAATATAAAATTCAATACCAAACTCATACAGAACTATATGATCTTTCAAGGCTTTTAGAAATACGGTAGAAAACTGGACTTGTCATATTTACCACAAGTAACCTACTACTACTGCTACTACTACCAGTCTATTGCATTGTAAATAGTTTCAGCTTTATCTTATTTGTGAAATTTTCTAGTATTATGAAAATAAGTTTTTACATTAATTTTATCTTTTCAATTAGTTATTTTGTATATATTTCAGTTATAATATCATAGGTGACGAATTACTCCTTAATTTTGGGACGAAATTTCAGCGATAATTTGTAATTTCACATGTGAAATTACAAAATTGCCATGGCAACCTTCCGTACGTCTCAGTGTCAAGATGGCGACGATGTTTCAACATGTCGTGAACGAAGATGCCAGGGCATAAAAAGACGCCTTAAAAAACCTGAACACTCGAAAGAGCACATCATGAAGGATTCTAACAGTTATTTTGTTGAAAAATTCTGTACTTAAGCCAAATTTAAGCTCTAAACGTTTCCAGAGAGTGCAGGAGTTCTCGATCGATGATAAACATGTCAAAAATCCAAGATTGCTAACGTAATTCATCACCCATGATATTAATAGGTAATCAAATGGTATACTCGTGAAATTAGGGAATAATTTCACTTGCGTTTTGTCCAAATCCTAATAATTTCCCGAGCCTTTCCGTCACCATTTGATAACACATACTAATTATCTACTCGTTTTTAATTTATTATTTTCATGTGTACTAGTACCTGCAAAGTAGCTAGTACTAAGTTTTCTCACAAATAGCTAAGCGTATTTTACACAATAAACCTGACTTGACTTTTGACTGGGAGTTAGGGGAAGGGAGTTCAACCCTTTTACTACCATAGTGGATATTACTGAGTCCTGTTAAGTGGTGAGTGCTTAAAGAATCTAATGATCTCTCCATTTAAATGAGATGCCCTTGGCAGCACTTAAGGTCCTGTTTACATGGAGCTGGGGGACCCCAGATAGGTGAGGTAACATGCGGCGGGTTACCCAACCTATCATGTAAACGTGATCAAATTAAAATGAGAGATTATTTGGACAGGTGGGTTACCCACCAAAGCAGGTTACCTCACCTGCCTGGGGTCCCCCACCTTCATGTAAACAGGCCCTATTGATGGAATTTCGAGTGAACGATGGAATGGCGAGTGAAAGGATTAATTATTCTGAGAATTTAAGGGAAGAAGGAAGTTATCGCCTACCTCTCTGCTTAGATCTGTACTGGCTGGTCGAGGATCCACAGGCGGTATGGGCTTCGGCAAGGGCTGACGGACTTTAGGTTCTATGGGCTTCGGCAAGGGTTTGGGAGGTGTGTATTCAAACTTGGATCCCTTCTTTTCTGGATCGAGGTAATGTCGCATTGCTTCCTCGTGAATCAGTCAGTGTTTTTCATTCCAAGAGAAGATAAAGCTTTGCCTTCCGTCCAGATACTCTTCACGGAACTGCGAAGCCACCTTCCTTTTTGCCCAGCGCGAGATGACAGACCGCGCTTTTTCGTCTTTATTTTGGTAGTATGTGTCTGCGCCTATCACGATCAACACTTTGTTATCTGAAAAAAAAAAGACGCGGAAACATCATGTACAGTGTTTAAAAGCAGTTTTCAGCGTTTTGATTCACCGTAAGGGAGGCGAGGCTGCTCCGTGGCTAGTGCTTCACCACTCCTGTGAAGAGGAGTGACAATGGACACTCATGTAAACTGATCGATATCTCGATGCCGATTAACAAAAAACGGGGCTTAATAACAGTTCCATCGATCTACCAGCTCCAACGATCTGTTGATCCATGGCGATGTCCTCATCTTACCAGCCATCTATCGATCAAAGATCCATAAGAAACAGGCACCTTTGTTTAGCTTTGTTTCGTACCGTGATCCTTCGCACGTGTCAAAGTTTTTTCTTTCTAGAGATACTTCCGGTTTTGGTGATCACTGCAATGTGTCTCTTCTTTCTAAGAAATGCTCCCGGTTTTGTCATTGACTGTGCAAGATCTTCCAAGAACTGGTATCGCGTGACAATCTTCTAAGAAATACTACCGCCCTTTTCGGGTGACATGCCGTGACACGCGACCTCATGACGATCGAAAGTACTCCATGGAGTTTACTCTCTTCTTACGCTTTCTTCATAAATTTACCCTTTTTTATCCGTTTTTTATTTCTTTTTTCACAAACCGAATTGAAGCAGTTTTTAATCAATAAGATCCTTAACCGTGTAAACACAGAATAGGCTGCAATTTCTGACTAATATTGAGAGCAAGGTGCCATATGGCACTTCCGCCTTTCCTGTGTATGCATATGTCAGCTGATAATTGTGGCTTCAGTAAGTTTAGTTGTTATTTATGTTTGATACTTATGCGTTTGCTATTGGGAAATTTCTTATTACGGCATGCCATGTCTTTAGTCTTCCTACTTGAGATCTACAGCATGAAATTTGCCAATTACATGTGTTGTTACTTTAAAACAGCGGCCTTAACAGAGTCAGACAAACTAAGGAACAACATTCAGAAACTACCTGTTTTCTGAAGCAAAGCTCGGTAGATTCTTGCGTAACCAATACCAGCCTTGTCTTCGTTGATGGAGAGACGAGATTCGTCTGCATGAACAACAAAAACAGCGACGTCCATCACCAGCTTGGGTATAGTGTTTTCACACACCTCAGCCAATTGCGGTAATCGAAAAGTGAGACGATCAATCGAGAATTTGAAGCCATATTTCTCCTCAAGGTCAAGCAAAAACTTCTCGACTACTTCTAAGTTATAAGTGTTGTCACAGTTAAAAAGAAAAAATTTTAACTGCTTCGCCATATCGTTTTCGAATACTTGGAGGTCGTCTCTTTGTTGGGGAATTTCCCGGAATTTGGGACGACATCCGGGAATGCGCACTCAGCGAAGTTGTTAGTGGTCACGCAAGGGGTCACAAAATTGGATGCTTTTCCAAAGGGGCCACTAATTAAAGTCGGGGAGAAAAACAAAACTTTCTATTATTAAATACGTCTGTAGACAGAAAACCATAGGGATTCAAACCTGTTTATTAAACTTTTAATCAACGCGACCAGAAAGCTTGATCTTGAAGGATGGACAGAACTAAATCCACTACCATATTGTTGTCTTTTTCACCAACATTTTGGTACGGTATTACATGTAATCTGTACTTGCAGTCTCAGCGGCGGCAGTGGCGGTGTTAACCATCCTTGGTGCACAAATCAGTTAACGGCCGCGAAAACCTGAAAATGGTATCAAAGTTTCCACTTGGAACATTTCGCCCGGAAATACAGGACTACCTTTTCAGATGTTCCATTTTTCTCCGAAATTTTCCACTGGAATAACATAAAAAATGGTACGCATGTTCTATCGAACACGCTCAGGGGAGGAGCGCAGGCTCATATCCCGAACAGCGTTCGGTAATCGAACTTTACAAGTTCATGCACTTTCCAACCAGATTTTGCGGAATCTTTTCGTAAATGGTAAACAATTAACCGCACCTAAACTAATCCTTACTACTCCACAAATACCCGAGCAAGACAACCAGGCTTAAAACGCACTTCAGCTAGTACAGACCTTATAATTTCGAAATTTAGCGGAAGTTGACAAACAGCGCTCCCAACCAACCGTCACTTGTCACCTTGACAACCGAATAAGAAACTCCTCCGTTACCAATACTAACGGAAGTCACAATAGCCAAAGGTATGGACTTGAAGCCGCTCATAAGGTCCGACACCTGTTTTACGCTTTTGGTCACCTTCTTCCTTCCTCCTGGGAGATGTCCTCAGTGTTAAATGAAATACTTCAATAACGCACGTATGACTCCAATAACACGGTCCCTACTAGGTAAAAAGATGGTACTCCACTACCACCCATATATAAAGCTACAACCAGTTGAAAAAATGTTGAGACACTCTCACGAAAAAACAACCTGTCTTGCTTCAAATCGCTGCTAGTCACAGATCTGTGAGATAAAATACTGACCCCCCTCCTCCTCCCATTCAAAGTTGTTCCTCCAAGTTTTGAGCATGGTCTTGTATTGCTAGCAACTTTGAAAAGGGGTGGGGGGGGGGGGGGGNCAACGCGACCAGAAAGCTTGATCTTGAAGGATGGACAGAACTAAATCCACTACCATATTGTTGTCTTTTTCACCAACATTTTGGTACGGTATTACATGTAATCTGTACTTGCAGTCTCAGCGGCGGCAGTGGCGGTGTTAACCATCCTTGGTGCACAAATCAGTTAACGGCCGCGAAAACCTGAAAATGGTATCAAAGTTTCCACTTGGAACATTTCGCCCGGAAATACAGGACTACCTTTTCAGATGTTCCATTTTTCTCCGAAATTTTCCACTGGAATAACATAAAAAATGGTACGCATGTTCTATCGAACACGCTCAGGGGAGGAGCGCAGGCTCATATCCCGAACAGCGTTCGGTAATCGAACTTTACAAGTTCATGCACTTTCCAACCAGATTTTGCGGAATCTTTTCGTAAATGGTAAACAATTAACCGCACCTAAACTAATCCTTACTACTCCACAAATACCCGAGCAAGACAACCAGGCTTAAAACGCACTTCAGCTAGTACAGACCTTATAATTTCGAAATTTAGCGGAAGTTGACAAACAGCGCTCCCAACCAACCGTCACTTGTCACCTTGACAACCGAATAAGAAACTCCTCCGTTACCAATACTAACGGAAGTCACAATAGCCAAAGGTATGGACTTGAAGCCGCTCATAAGGTCCGACACCTGTTTTACGCTTTTGGTCACCTTCTTCCTTCCTCCTGGGAGATGTCCTCAGTGTTAAATGAAATACTTCAATAACGCACGTATGACTCCAATAACACGGTCCCTACTAGGTAAAAAGATGGTACTCCACTACCACCCATATATAAAGCTACAACCAGTTGAAAAAATGTTGAGACACTCTCACGAAAAAACAACCTGTCTTGCTTCAAATCGCTGCTAGTCACAGATCTGTGAGATAAAATACTGACCCCCCTCCTCCTCCCATTCAAAGTTGTTCCTCCAAGTTTTGAGCATGGTCTTGTATTGCTAGCAACTTTGAAAAGGGGTGGGGGGGGGGGGTCACAAGCACAAGATCATGTACAGGCCATTTAAGCCAAAATACGGTACAGTGTCTCAAGTACTTTTGCAACTGGTTGTCTCATTTACGTTTTACTTCAAAAGCCATTTCCACGTCTCAACTTTCCAAAGCGAAGACTATATCGAGAAAAATAAATAGAATGGCACTTTCTGTTTTTTTTCCCAGCTGGCACATCATTGTCATTGATCGCAAAACTACATAAAAAAGCGCTTAAAGTAATAATTTTTCTTTAGGAGTTGTCGCCGCATATTCCGTATAAATTACTGAGAGGTTTCTCGTGCGTATCTGTTAATAGTAAATTGCTGCCCCAAATGTTGATTAAGCTATATTCTCCACCGCTTCAACACAGAGAAGATTGCTACCCAAATTAATTGCACTCCCTTTATTTATGAGTTGTGCAGGGCACTTTAAGAAAATTGCTTTGAAAGTCCCACAAAGTGTAATTTTGGTGGGGCCCAACAAACAACATACATGTGATTCAGCTGCAGTATGAAATTGCCAAAAGAAATCTGGCTAAATGATCTATTTTCTAATAGGTCTGTCGCACTCTGTCATTGACTTCGACTTGGACTTTGTACCAAGTAGTTCTGGTCAGTTCGATGTCTTCATGATCATCAAGCGATGGGTTTGATTAGCTTTGAAAGATCACTGTGCTTGCTAGACTCAGCAGACTTACTAGACTGAAATACTTACTGTCATTAAACATTCGCCTTTCTAACTGGTCATTACATTTAGCCTCCTGGCTCCAGTTGTTTAAAATGCGGATAGAGCTATCCACTGACATAGCAGTTGGTTTCCCTAATATTTATCCACTGGAGAGTGAGTTATCCGGTGGATAGCGCTATCCAGCTTTTAAACAACCGGAGCCAGATGGCCGGGGATTTGGGGTATTTTTGCTTGTTCTGATTGGGCATTTATGAGAATAAATTCCGTAAGGTTCTATGAACTAAACTTTTGGTTGTAAGTTAGCAACCACTGGCAACCGGCATAGCTTTTCACAGCATTTTTTCTATAATTGTTTTGAAGAGAATGCAACACGGCCCTCCATTAAGCGTGGAAACTGAAACCTCACAGTAATAGACAATGACACGGACAGCAGCCTTGATGTCTTTGAATTGTTCCACGATTGTGTGTATGCAGTGACCTGGTCCCTGCAGGATAAACAGCTGGTGCTGTTCCACTGGCAGCTGGACGCACAGCTGCAATAATGAAAGATTCAGAATTCAGTCGGACCTATTTAGTAGCTGAGGTTACTATGTTTTACACTGCACCTATTTTTAGTTGTAAAGGTACACTCTAACCAGAATCTTAGCCACTAAATACAAAACGACCTTCTGAAAATTCGTAAGTACAGCCTTGGTTATGTGGAAACAAGGCTGGCTTAGCCCCACCATTTAACCCTTTGTAGCTAAACAGCCACCGAAGTGAAAAAACCCCTTTCTGGAGGGAAAACAACACAAAGGGAAATTCAAAAGGAAAGAAATAAGCTTTAAAAATGTTGTTATGTCTTTGTTTTTAATGCCCCACTGCTTCTCATACCTCCAGCAGGGTGGTTGTGTCTCCTGTGACAGGAGCTGCAAAGGGCCCATTCAAGATACTTACGCCCAAAAGGCGTATGACCGTATGTTCAGTAAAGAGGGGTGGGTTGGGTAACTCGTTAAAAGAGAAGAGCGTTTATTTCTGTTTGAATCCACCACTGTGGGGTATACTTGTGCTAAATTTAGTTCTTAATCTGTCATTTTGTATGTGAAATTAAGTCGTGAAGGCCACGGATCACATTGCTACCACCGTAAATGAGGAGTGCAAAGATTAATCACAAGTTGCCATTTCTTTACTCTAGAAATCATTTCATCTTTTGTAATCTGCCATATGCATGTAAGCAATATGAAAAGAAAGCGATCTGTGAATTTGATCCTCCGAGACATTCAGAATCGTGAGCAATCGACGATGGTTGCTCGTGTTCTGTTTTCTTTGCCTTAGCCAAGTAGGGTTCTAAAGCCAGAGTAGATATAGTTTCAGGTTTCTCTTTCCCCTACACAGGGTCAGGGATTCAAACGCTTAGGAAGAGGGTAGCAAAGGGTTTACGCGTGAGGCGTGATCAGGCCCAAATTTAGTGCGTGACGCGTCAAAGTTCCGAAAATAGGAACGTGATCCGTGATGTGCGGGACTCGTGAATATTTAGTCGCATTTCGTGAAAAGCATTGAAATAAGAAAGAGGGATTAAACAAGGCCATTGGTATTATTCTCTGCGCATGCATTACGTTTTTGTCTTGGTTAAAAATTACTACCTAAAGACCAGACCCTTAAAACTGCACGTGACCAGTGACCTTTGGGATAATTATCGTCCACTTCGGCATTCTTGTTTGTTTTCGTGTTAAACTGAGTTAATTGCCCCCAACGAAAGGCCATAGGCACAGTCGCTGTAGCCTGCACAGAAGGCATCGGCGGGGGTTTGTTAGAGCGAAGGGGGAAATTTCGAGGACACGTGTGCGCACTTGTGGAGAGAAAAGGAGTAAATTCAAACTAACCAAAAAAACGAACCTGCGCCTGCCTCGCAGGCTTCTTTCGCTGAGGAATAAAAAGAAGTTGCATCGGGGGCGTTGCTTTCAACGCAAGACCGCTGGAAACACGAATTTCCCACATGCGCGACTGCTCGTTAACGCCCTTTAAGATCGCCCAACCGACATTCTACTGAGAGGAGAAGTGGGGAGAAATTGCGATCGTCAAATATAATGCGAATTAGGATCCATGGTGACTGTGTTTCGGTTCCTATCCCCTTTGATTAACGGGTGAGATTAATGACTCTTGAAAATTGGTTTATACTTCACGCGATACGTGAAATTTATCAAAATTTGTACGTGAAACGGGATCATGACTTCCCCTTTTGCTACCCTCTGGGAAGCATTCGAGACACTCCCGTGGGGAAAACGTAGGAGTCAATTCTTATAATGCTTCTTGATCTCCAACATAGATGATGTGACACTGAACTTTTCAAATCATCGAGGGAACGTTTACCTTCATAATTGCCTTTTGGCGGTTCATCCCTCAACTTACGTGTTGGTGCTTCCCTAGCGTGGGTTCGTGATTCTTCCTCATCGTCCTGAAGAAAGCAATTAATGCGATGCAATGTTTTCAATATTTATTTCATACGCTGTTAGCTATTAATAGACTAACCTGACGAAATCTTCTTAGTTTACATCAGCTAAATAAGTCGACTTAAGAAACAGAGAGCACTATCCGTGCTTCAATCTAGTCCCGGTGCCGCGAAATCAAACACAACTGAAGGGCAAGCACTTTTAACTACTTAAGCTCAGCTGCATGCTCTAACTGATATATTCAGATTCTCCATATTGATCTCAACACAAATTCACCTAGGAGAATAAGTGGAGAGCTTTTCTCGTATATGACCATTTGTTACTTCGCATGAGATCTCTTGCATATGTACTGACATTGTCAGAAAAAAAAAAATTATGTGAAAGGTTTGAACCCAGACGTCATTTCAAAAGTAGATTGAATTTGATCGTCCAGGTGAACGTGTAGATCGCAATTTGCTCGCGAAAGCGCCATGTTAAAACTTCCCGAAGAGAGGAGGAGACAAAGATGGCAACTACAACAACATTACGAACACGAATAAGGTTTCGCCCACGCAAAATACGCCTGCACTGTAGGCTATCCTGAATAGGACTGTTGTTGTCGATAGCAGTGACTGACGTTTCGACAACCTATTCGGTAGTCATCTTCAGAGTCAATGTGAGTTGTATCACGTCAGTTGATGGTATTATAGCGGAGCTCCCGCGCGAAGCGCGCGCCAGCAGAGCACCATGGGTAAGAAAATTTGGTAAACTATCCATTCGAGAAAATTTGGTTATGACGTAGCGTACGCCTTCCCGTACGCACACTTTATGTAAGCTGATGTTAAATGTCACATTAGATCTTGGAGAAATTAATACTTTGTAAGCCATCCGTATGAGGATGAATTAACAGATGTCAAAATCACGTGACCATCTCGCGGGCTCAGATGAAAGGCCAGTCGTTCTTCCCTTATATCTAAGCTGATATAATATGTCACACTTACCAACATAAAAATGAAAATGAAATGAAACCTCGCTTTCACCGGCCAGGGCTGTCAGTCAGGGCTGGCCAAAATAAGGTCAATTGACAGCTCTTAAAATGGGACATGTAAAGTCCACTAACAACGTGGGCTCAAATACACGATCTGACCTTTCGCCCCATTAATCCTCCATTACAACCCAGACTGAAATGTCCTACTCACACTCGCAGTCAACAGTCCGTTTATTCGAAAAGTTCAATTGAAAGCTGTCATACTAGAGCATCCGCTGACCATCATCACCTGACTGTATCGCGGGCTCAGGTTTCGGCCCACTGAGTTCCAGTTTTTTTTGAAGTTATCCGCTGACAAGTTACTACTTTTCAAATGATTGCAGGCTCAAGTTCAATTTTTTTAATGCATGGGAAATAGGAAAATGTGTTTATGAGCCGCACTATTAAACTTTTAATTTCAAACTGACCTCGGACGCGAGAATTAAGCCAGTTTTTACAGATAGGGAAGTTGCTTTTGACCTTTCTTACAATGGTCACGCATTGGCCACGCTCTACTTCCAGTTTTTACGCTCTGATTGGTCAAAGTTTGACAGGTGAGTTCATGCGTTAAAAATTTATGCAGCATCTTGAAACTTGTTTACTGATAGCTGAAACTGACAGAGTTTTGTATAACCTTGTCATAGTTTTAACTGTTTTTTTCCTTTGGATGTACAAAATGAAATAGAGCTGCTAGCAAGATTCGTAAGTTATTCGTGGCTGGTTTGTTTATTAGTTGTTTGGTTGAGAAATGCGCCGCTTGTCAAAGTCTTCGGAAATCCGATTTCGGATGGATCGCGTTTCTCATTTTCTCTTGCTTAATGCGTATTATAAAGAGGGTTCAACAAAGTCTCAAGCGATTCTGATGGCCTTCAGGAGTTGCATCTTAACTGGTAAGCCTGAGTTATTATTGTATTTGATGTGTTTTTTTTCTGGTTTTCTAAAGTCGATCGTAGTTTTTGCGCCTAGTTTATGCACAAGACGATGATCTAACCTACAATCAGGTTTGACATAAGTTTACAAATTTTTAAAGAGTCTTCACATCTTTTTTCCACAAATACAAAGAAAACGTTCCGAAGAGTACAATGTATTTAGTTATGATTTTGGCTGTAAAAAGAAAGCCCTGAGTGATATGCTTGCCTCGCCGTTCAAGTTGAAGTATAGCAAACACCGGGAAGCTGGCTGAAATCCGCAAGGTTTTTGAAGTTTATGAGCTTATGCTTACCTGACACATGATTTTCAGAGACACTTTACTCTCCAAAATTATCTTCCTGATTGAAAATTGTTGTCTCTGTACATGTTTCACCGAGTTATATGTATTTTACTGATTGTTAGTAGTCTCTTTCTCAATTTAATCGCTGCGGAGGTTGTTTTCAGTCGAACATATAACAAAACATCGCATGCAAGAGAACGCAAAATGCAGGGCGTAAATATCAAACGCTTTTAAAGATAACACATAACAAAACGATAAATAAGGGGAATTAAAACCTAAGGATAATAAGTTCTCCATCATGTTGAAGCCTAACTCTATTAATGTTCATTCAAACGGCTCCGACAGTTCGGACTGCACGTTTGGTGCTTGACAAATGTGACAACCAGTCCGGCTGGCCGTATAGGTGATTTTGGGAATTTTTTGATCGTTTTCACTGAAAGCCCATAATTGCTATCCTGCTTGTTACATAGGAACAGATTTTTCCGACTAAACAGTCCCGGTATTACGGAAAATTCTCTTCATGAAAACGTTTTATAATGTGGTCAATTCCGTAATTTTTTACTCAAAGGAAGCGCGTGCTTTGATCGTCTTGGATATTGAATGAGCGCAATTTGTCTTGCAAAATTGTGAAAACTGCAGAATTATAGGTGTAAGTAAGGCAAGGAGGAATAACTTTTGTTGGAGGTCTGTATGATAAAAAACAGGCACACAGGCATACTACTGTTTTCCTTAGACCTTATGTATAAAAACACTGATAAAAAGTATTTTTAAAAGACTTGTTCAGTGTACACACCACCAGATTTGTCGCCAAGGTTTACTTGTAAAGTAAACCTGTAGAACACAAATCTTTTTCGAAACACAAAAAGACCGACTTGATTTCTTTTTATTTTGGCTTTCTTTTTAGACAGAGGAATGCAACGTATAAATTGGCTGAAACCGAGGACTATTTACGCGATGTAAAATTTATTCACTCTTGGACTGTCAAATTATTTTTTCTCTAAGGAATCACTTTCCATCAAAAGTCTCATAAATGTACCTTAAAGTTCACTAATTAATGTTTATTGTTTTATTTAAATTATTAATTTATTAACGTGAGCTTCGCTTTTATCCCTGGCTAAATTTGTATATTATTATACCCTGGTTATTGGTCTGATTGGTCAATTACGTCGCGATGTTATTGGTGGTCTGTCAATTAAGCCGTGATATTATTGGCTATGAGACTCGTAATGAAATAGGTGTGTTTCGATCCTCTATCCTCAACTTAGGCGAAAGGGAGAACTAAAATAAATTAAAGAAGAACTTTTTCACTTTTGGTAGAGCTGCCTACGTTTTGTGCCATCGATTGTGTCATAACCCTCTCCACCGTTCAAGTCAGCAGTTATGAGGAAGAAATTCCTAGTGAGGACTTCAAACAGCCTCTTCAACAAAGAGAAGAGACTCGGCGGCAGTATGTGGAGGAGAGATGTATTTAAAGTCCTACCTCTAGTCTCGAATAAGGTATTGCTGGTCGAGCCGGGACCTTAGGTGCTTCAGACTTCCGCGAGGGCTGAGGGACCACAGGTGCTATGGGCTTTGGCAAGGGCCTGGGTGTGTATTCAAATGTGAATCCCCTTTTGCTGGGATCAAGAAAATGCCGCATAGCTTGCTCGTGAATCGGTCGGTGTTTTTTATTCCAAGAGAATATAAAGCTTTGCCTTCCGTCCAGATACTCTTCACGAAATTGCGAAGCCACCTTCCTTTTTGCCCAGCGCGAGATGACAGACCGCGCTTCTTCGTCTTCATTTTGGTAGTAACTGTCTCCGCCTATCACGATCAACACTTTGTTACCTGAAAAAAGCAGCAGAAAACTTATATTATCGAGCAGTTTGTAGCGTTTTGATACACCGGCTGCTCAGCGATAAGTGGTTTGGACGTGGTATCAAAAGGTGAAGGGTTAAGTTGTATTGTGTTAGTTAAGACACCCACAAGTCTCATGCTTTACTCCAACGTGGTGTATAAATAGGTGCTGGCCAATTTTCATATTGGGGTAAACATTTCGATAGGGTTCTTGTGGAAAAGACCAGCCCTGCAATGGGCTGTTATCCTGTTTAGGTGAGTACGTGCTTAATGCTACAGAAATCAAGATAAGCTCTTGCCCGGTTTGATGAACCACTTGGTTAAAACGCAGACTTTATCTTTTATCTTACCTGATACAATCTGTAAAATTCCAAAATTCTCGGGTCTTGTATTTTCGTGGTAATTAATTTGGGAAGGGTTTTTAACTCGGAGTATTATAAACGAAGAAGCATATTATTGGAAGTGGGGGCGGGGGAAATTTAAGTCGATCAATTTTTTGAATGTACTGTAAAACACTTCCGGTTTAATTTCGGTATGGCTTAAATGCTCTGAAGAAATACTTCCGGTTCTGTCACCTGACAATTTTTCCACGAAATTCTTCTCCGTTTCTCGGGTGACATTCATCGTTAGGGGGTGACCTTGGCGTAATCGTTCGAAATCGAAAGTGCTCTAAAGGTTTTCTATCTCATGCTTCATTTACTGATTGATTATCCCCCACTTCGATATTATGAACATGGGATTTAAACAATTTTTCTGTCTGGATAAAAATATGTACAGCGAATACACTGTCTGCATGATCCGTGTCGGTACATTTCACACTGCCGTAAATGCCTACAGCACTTCCTATCCACTTCCGGCTTTCTGAGTATGTGAAGTTCTAAAAGTGTGTTTTCTGGTTTCGATACTTATGCTTTAACTATAGTGGGCATTGTCGTGCATCACTTTTTATTATAAAAAGGAAGATGTATTACATTAAATTACGGGACTACGACTGAATCGGTGGAAGGCTCAGTGGCGAATGTACTCATCGGAAACCCACCTGTTTTCTCAAGCAAAGCTCTGTAGATTCTCGCGTAACCGATACCAGCATTGTCCTCGTTGATGGAGAGACGAGATTCATCTGCATGAATAACAAAGACTGCAAAATCCATTACCAGTTGAGGCAAAGTTTTCTCGCACAAATCAGCCATTTGTTGTAGACCAAAATAACGACGATCGACTGCAATTTTGAAGCCATATTTCTCTTCTACTTCAACCAAAAACTTTTCCACTATCTCTAAATTATAAGTTTCATCACAGTTAAAAAGGTAAAAAGCGCTGGGCTGAGTTGCCATGTCGTGTTACCGCTATGTACGGCAGATGTCGCAGAGTTTTGCTTTTTCTTTGCGAATTTCGTGGAATTACCGGAAAACGAAGCGCGTAGTTCGTTCATCTACTATTAAACAAGTGGAAAACTCGCAGTCTAGTCCCTAGGCGTTCCCTCTTGACCCGTTGTCCGGGCGAAGTCTGGGAAAGAGAGGCGAGAAGCAAGTATCTCTAAGTGACGTCACACCTTACGGTAGAGTCCAGGATTGACCGAGCCGAGAACGCCTAGAGACTAGGATGGAAAACTCGTACATTTAACAGAATCACGCAATGCAAATATTTATCAGTGGTCACGCAACACGGCTCCTAATAAGCTGCGTTGGATGTTACATGTTACGTCCGTTTGCAAACCCTGTTGCATGTTGTTGTGTGCTGTTGGGAGTTGTTGCGAAAAGCTTGAAACCGGTCAAACCTTTAGCTACAGCAACTCCCAATATTGTTGGGCAAGCAATGTTGGGAGTTGTTGTGTCTGTTTGCTCGTTGCTTTTTAGGGTAGCAGTTTTAGAAACTTTTAAGTTTTAATGGAGTATCAAGCATAAAAAGGACTTGATCATACGAACAGTGGATGATATAAAGTCACCAAGAGAGAATGAGCTAAGAGAGCGAATCCCCGTGCCCCGTCACTTAACACGCTTCCTAAGGAAAATTTATTAAAAATAGGTGATTATAGAAAAAAAATGCGCAAACTTCCTTTGAAGGAATGAAGAAGAATTTAAGACTTTGTTACAGTGCCTTGCCTGAAAGTTTGAGAATGTTTATTTTGCAATTACGGCTGGTTCAGTTAGAACAGAGTAAATATTTTCGTCTTTTTGCGGCTTTCTGTTACAGAAAGCGCCCAATCTCCACGATCTTGAGGATAAAGTAAGATCTTTAAAGACTCTTTTATTACAGAGGGTCTGTTATTTAAACAACGTCTAACTTAAACCGAGGTATAAGGAATCATTCGACCTCCAGATCTCTTTAATTTCTTAGTGAGTTAAGTTGAAGTGTTTTCTAGTACACTGTATGCATTAATAATATTGTCCACGACAAATGGTGTTTAGATAAAAGCGTTGGGAAAGCTGAAAATGACTTAGAAAGCGGTTTAGTTAAACACTGGTTAAACTCCGTTTAAACAACTCGCCCAGAGTTTTTTTCGTGGGCGGGCGGGATGTTTCGAGGCCACCTACGATCGCGGGGTCGTCCGCAGGCCGGTCGACACAACTTTGGCTGAGGCAGTGAGGGTAGCAAACGAGACTATCACGTGACCAAAATCGCCAACAAAAGATGGAAATGAACAAAAAACGAAACATGGAAATTAGAAAGAGCAAAATAAAGCAGTTTTCGTCAGCAAATGTTAAAAGATGTCTGCAATTCTCTTCTTACGGTGCAGGCATCGCCTCGTATATTTATCAGTCAGTCTAGGTAAGTCTTCTGCTGGGAAATTTTTTACCGTTTTCCGTAAAGACGGTAGGCGCTTGACTGCAGAGCGGGAGGTCTCGGGTTCAGTATTCAGGGTCTTAAAATACATTGTCACTCAAGTGTAGTGCATTTCTTTTTGGTCAGGAAAAGTTTTTATTCAAAAACTCCGAATCTTTTTCATACTTCTTTCCTTAGCATCATCCTTACGACCAGCTGCTACCCGCCGCCGTTGACAAGCCTCTACAAGCCGGACCTGAAATATAGTCAAGCAGGGGCCATTTTCCCGGAAGTCCCGGTAACTTTTCTCGCCTGGAAAGCTGTTTTATGTTTGCCGTGTTTCCATTCATGCAAGATCAAAGTTTCAATAATTTTGAAAATAATACAATGAAACTATCAGTTAACGAAACAAAGTTGGCTGGTTTGTGAGCAAGGAAGTGTACTACTACTCAACAAGTATTGATATTAGAATTTGCCTTCGGGCCTTCTGAGAAACAGGCCCCACAAACGCATTACAAAGCCCTAAGAACTACTGCTTGGGAGGCTAGATAAACCAAGCAGTCTGATCTTGTTTTCAAGACCATGATTCAGCCATCCGTGGCGATACCTTGAAGAGCGTGCGTATGTGCAATTCGTTGTTCATTCACGAAAGTCCAAAGATTAATTTAATTTGTAATTTTATTGCCAACTTTTTAAGCACTATATAACTTTAAACACTGACCTATCCGTCCTTGTATAGGAATCGAAAATCTTTGAAAGTATTTATTCTAGATTATTGTAGGCTTACATTCTAGCGGACGCATTAGGGAGTTACACTTGGTCTATCTCTTTTCAAAGGCCTTTCCCCCTTTCATCGGAAGGGTAAAAGTTCGGTTCGTAAGGTTTTTAAAAAAGAAAAGTTGTTAGTCACTGACCCTCAAAAGATTTTGGGGTTAATGGAAGGCTTTTATTCTGGTCTGTATAAGAAGGACGATATAAAACCTTCTGAAAATCTGATGAATACTTTTTTTGAAAATCCGCTCATGCCTAGACTTACCGTTAACGATTCTTGAGTGTGTGAAGGGAAGTTAACAATTGAAGAATGTGCGAAGAGCCTCAACTCTTTTGAATCCAATCAATTTCCAGGTAACGCTGGGTTAACAGTTGAATTTTACAAATTTTTTGGAACATAGTTGGTGAATTACTGGTAGCCAGCCTCACCTACTATTATGACGTTGGAGAATTAACAAACTCACAAAAGAAAGCAATTATAATATTACTGGAAAAAAAAATAAGGATAAAAGAGACATATCTAACTGGAGACCAACATCTCTGATCAATGCATGTCGATGTTAAAATAGTATCGAATAGCTATAGATTTCCAAAAGGCTGTTGATTCTGTAAGCAGAGAATTTCTTTTCCGTAACCTATCTGCTGCTCGTTTTGGCTCTTCTTTTATCCAATAGATTCACTTTTTTTGTAATAACATTTCTAACTGTGTTTCAAACAATGGTTTCGCTACCGCACCTTTTGACATCCAGCGTGGCGTTAGGCAGGGGGATCCTATTCCTCCGTATCTGTTTATTATCGTGTTAGAAACTTTGACTTCAACGTAGCCTGAGTATCAGGCCTTCCTACTTTCCCCTTTTCCCCAGAAACGCCTGATACTCAGGCTAACTTCAACGATAAGGTCAGACAATAATGATATTCGAGGTATTATGGCGAATGGACAAGAGATTATATTAGGGCTTTTTGCTGATGATTTAACAGGGTTTTAGAAGAACGCCAAATCTCTAATTAAGTTCCTCGAACTAGTGTTGCTGTTTGGTAATTGTTCTGGTCTCGTTATAAACCATGATAAGTCGAAAATACAGCTGCTTGGAAACTCTTTCCCCGCGCCCCCTAACCTTAATCATACTCCTTTTAAAGACCTAACGATAAAGAATTCCTTAAAGATTTTAGGGGTATATTTCACGTATGATCGCCGTCTCGGGGTTAATTTCGATGAAATTACGAAAGCCATTAAGGATAAGTTAAGAATTTGGAAATGGAGAGATCTTACCGTCGTTGGTAGAATTCAACTTGTCAAATATTTATTCATGATCCCCACGTTCTTATGCTGTGCTAGTTTAATTTGTATGGATAAGGAATTGGGAAAGAAATTACAGCTTACCCTACCAGGTTGCCCTTGACACTATAAGTCACGCGAATTAATAATATAAATATAAATTGTTACACAGATGTCTGGCCACCAATGATTTTTGATACAAAATTGGTATTTCTTCATCACCACGATGTTCTCTGTGCGATGGGGCGGATGAATCCCTTGGACACCTTTTTGTCTCTTGCCAGAGAATACTCAGAGTATTTGGGTGGAAGATATTAAATGGTGTAGCAATCGGGGAGTGGTTATTAATCACCGCTCAACTAAAGATATATTATTTGCTAAAAAGGTAAATCAAGAAAATTTATTCATTAATCATATTTTGCTTGTTGGTAAGCAGTATATGTATAATTCAGTTGTAGACGCACGAAAACAAACCCTTGTTTACGGGTTTTCTTGGCAAGACGCAATAACGTTTATCAATTAGAAACTATCATCGTCAAATCAAAGAATATAATGTCTTTTCATTTACGGAAATGGTAAGCACTCTTGAAAGGTGGTACACAATTGTCGATAAATACTTGTTAGGTTTAGTAGTACTGATACTGTCGTTGTGTGTCGTGCGTGCTGTGCGCGTGAGTGTGAGTTATTTGTGTATTATCTTTAAAATTTGTAATGTCGGTAATGTATGTAAATTTAACGCTATTATCGTAAGGCAATAAACTGAAATAAACAATGATTAAATTACAAAAAAATATCAATGTAAACCCCGTGGGGATCAAGAAGTGAAAACTTTGGTCAAGGTTAGAAGTGCCTACATTTTTCATTGAAAATTAAATATTTATTATATACATACTGAGAAATACTCACCAAAAAGCTATGTCGTAAATTTTCGTACGCAAATTAGTTCTAGCCAATCAGAGGAGCGAACGATGGTTTTCACACGTGAAAAAAGTGATACGTCCAATCAGAAGCCACAGAGGTGTGTGAGTTTCGCGCCAAAATTCCCGACTTGTATTGCAGCTTGATGCAGCGCCGCTTCGCACACATTTAACGAGAAAAGTTTTACTCAAAGAGTTTTTCTCGCTAAAAAAGTGAAAAACATTTCGGAAATAGAGTGGAATAGTTTCGTTTGTTTCACTGTCGATAAAGAAAACGGTATAGAGCCGGAGAAACAACAGCGGAAAGGGATAAACAGAACAAGACGTATGCTTTTGTTGTGCTTTTTGTCGGAGCTACTTTGCCTTTCATTTAAGCTTAAGCTTATATTGAAACCGCCCATTTTACTTAAATTCACTCATTTTCAATTGTGCATTGAGAACAAACATTTAAGATTACTTAGGGTTCTTGGATTACCTCATATCCTAACCGTCATTTATGTTTTTAACAAACGTTTTTACTAAAAAGCGGATACTTCGTTTTCGTTGTCATTTTGCGGTAAGTGTGTAGCGGCAAATTTTAGCGTTTTTGAAAGATTTAAAATAAAAAGGCCGCCAAAATGATGAATGTCTCAGTATGTATATAATAAACACAATACCACATGGAAAGTGCTTTGTACGGTATTTACGCACTCGTTGTTTTTGCATCAGAAATCTTACTCGTTCGCTGCGCTCACTCGTTCGATTTCTGATACGTTAACAACTCGTGCGTAAATACCGTAGGCCAGCACTTTCCATGAAGTATTCTCTGTTTATAGCTATTAATCCTAATTATTTTTCCTATCACTTTTGCTGAGGGTACTTATTGTTGTAACTGGCCACAAATGAGCTCACACACCGTCGTTTTTTAATTAGCGTCCCCGGAACCAGTGAATAACGATCCCCCAACAAGCAACCATACATCCCCAACAAGCAACCATAAATCTCCAAATCCTGGAACAGCACGCTCTGATTTTAGAGCAACAGCCGCGGTCGACGGTGCGAGCGGAAGGTTTCACCTTGTCATACTTATAAGAGACTGATCCATTACCAGTGCGGTAAAACGTCACCATGTGGACAGGATAGGACTTAAGGTCGTTTTCGACAGCTGTTTCCTGTCTCGCTGTAGGTTGCCATCCTGCTTCTCTCTGCACGACATCCCCATCTTCATAAGAAATCTTTCCATGTCGCACTATTGTCTCCAGTAGGATGACGTCCCCTTGGTAAGTTGCTGGCGGTGTTTCACCAGTACCTATAGCTGCCAATGTCGAAGGTTCACAAACTTAAGTATCTATTTGTTAGTCATTACGAGTATCATTTTCATTTATAAATGATGATATTTGTTGCCCCGTGAATCGTGGATTCCGGATTCCAGGGACTGGATTTCCAATTCCTTGTCAGTAGAACTTAAATTCCGGATTCTATTTATTAGCAGGATTCCAGTTACCTTAGAAAGGGGTGTTATCTGAAACAGCCAAACGGATAGCAAGGGCAAGCGGGAAGTAATAGGCGAGTACAAACGCCCATAACCTGGGACGAGCAACTTTCATGTACCTGATTGAGGGGTCACGGAGTTTTTCAAGACATGAACTAGTAATTAGTCTCTTGGCAGCCGTTTTCAGGATCGTCGCGCAACGCTCCTCCTCACAAAGGAGAAGTGAAAGGCGAGAGGAGGAGCATGCGTGACGAGCCTAAAGACGGCTGCGAAGAAGACTAGGTAGTAGTACTACGTGGCTTTTGATAATTAAAGAATTAACGGATATAACATAACTTCCTAACAGAAAGACTTTCACCTCCGTAAGTGCTCTTGTCCAAGTCATATCTCAACTCACTTTTTGACTGATCCCGATCGCTAAAGGATCTTCGGCGGGTTCCAGTATCTTCTTCACTGTCCTCCTGGATAAGGATTTCCTTGTCACTTCTTACCAAAGACGACTATACGAGGAAAAAGATTACTTATGAGGTATGTTTTGATGAATTCTATATACCGAGGGCTCTCTTCAAACACCTTTCCTAACTCATACTTTAGTAATTACTTTAGTAAGATATTCTGGCTAAAAAGGATCAGCTATGTCACCGATAAATGTAATAACCACAACTACTATATACCTGGAATATTTCCCCAGAGGACCCCAGAGCTACAACCTCGGGCAAAACCTGTTGAGACACATCGCAAAAACACCGATTTTTTTCCTGTGATCCTAGCAAAAATAGAAACCGCCGCCAAATGAATTAAGATGCCCGTTTTCTCCCCTTCCCTTCTCCAGCGTTGCTTAGGATGACAAGATAATTGTACATGTTGGGTTTTAGACCAAAACAACGTTGAATAGAGGGTGGAGAGGGGGCTTACTTAAGTTATATTTAGATGAGATGCTGGTAGTAGCATGGCACAAAAGTTGGAAAATGGATGGAACTGACTCAAGGACTGAAGAAGTAAGAAAGCGCCGTTCAGACACAAAGAAGTAAGAACACACCGTTCAGACACATAAACAAGTAAAACCGCGCCGTTCTGTTTGCTGGCCACCCACAAAGAGGTGAATAAGGTGTGAACCTGGTGGTAACCAACTTAACCTCATTTATCTCCCACCATAGCAACGAATAATCCGGGAGTTAAGAGAAAGGGAGTTTTTAAAAACCCTTTTACTACCAGAGTGGATGATAGAGTCCTGTTAGGTGGTGAGTCTGTAAAGAAAATGTTATGGTGTCACAATTCAAATGAAATGTCCTTGGCAGCAATTAAGATGGAATTTCGATTTCAAATTCGCCTTTGGAGAGTGAAGGGATTAATAATCCGAAAATTTAAGGGAAGAAGGAGGTTATCGCCTACCTCTCTGCTCAGATTTGTATCTGCACTGGCTGGTCGAGGATTCACAGGCGGTATGGGCTTCGGCGAGGGTTGGGGGACCTCAGGTTCTATGGCTTTCTGCAAGAGTTTGGGAGGTGTGTATTCAAACTTGGATCCCCTCTTCCCGGGATCGAGGTAATGTCGCATTGCTTCCTCGTGAATCGGTCGGTGTTTTTCATTCCAAGAGAAGATAAAGCTTTGCCTTCCATCCAGATACTCTTCACCGAACTGCGAAGCCACCTTCCTTTTTGCCCAGCGCGAGATGACAGACCGCCCTTGTTCGTCTTCATCCCGGTAGTTATTGTCTCCGCCTATCACGATCAACACTTTGCTATCTGAAAAAAATAGGCGCGGAAAAGTGTATACAAACAGTTCTCAGCGTTTTGATACACCGTAAGGGAGGCGCAGCTGCTTCGTGGTTAGTACTTCATCACTCCTGTCAAGAAGAGTGACAATACTGATATTTCTATGCCGAGCAGGGGCGTAGCCAGCTTTTCTACTAGTTGTAGGCCTGGCTGACTTTCATTTCCACATATCCTCAAAAATTGCACTCATGGCTAGTACGCACTGACCTTACCAACACTTTGAGCTCTTAAGTTTTTTAGCTCAACGCAACATTACCGTGGAGCGTCCCCCACTGACTGCTTCAAAGATGATTAATTAGGACATATTTCCTTTTAGTTCAAATATTGCCAGGAAATCAAGTATTCTTTTGTTTCTTGGCCTTCTAAAATGTAACTAATTTTCTTGTGGTGATAGTCATCCCCGGAAGAAAATATAAATTGCTTCTTTAGTTTTGTTTACTAGTAGAAACATTTTGCTGACAAGATCCATCAGAATCAGGCACCTTTGTTTAGCTTTGTTTCGTACCTTGATCCTTCGTACATATCAAAGTTTTTTCTTTCTAGAGATGCTCCCGGTTTTGGTGATCACAGCAATGTGTCTCTTCTTTCTAAGAAATGCTTCCGGTTTTGTCATTGACTGTACAAGATCTTCCAAGAACTGATATCGCGCGTGACAATCTTCTAAGAAATACTTCCGCCTTTTTCGGTGACATGCCGTGACACGCGAACTCGTGACGATCGAAATCGAAAGTACTTGAAGACGTATGCTCTGTTCTTACGCCTTCTTCATTGATTCACCATTTTCCATCCTAATTTTTTTGTACATAAGCCGGATTGAAGCAGTACTTAATCAATAAGAACCTTAACTGTGTGAACACAGAACAGGCTGCAATGTCTGATTGATTTTGAGAGAAACAAGGTGCCATATAGTACTTCCGCCTTTCCTGTGTATGCATAATTATTCAGCTGGTATGTCGCTTCAGTAAGTTTAGGTTTTATTTACGATCTGATATTCACCGGGGCACCCAACGACTGTTTTCTGTGAAATATCTGTTCGGAGAAGCAAAAATTGCCTGAGAATTTTCTATAGCTTGAGGAAAGCTAAAAATTTCTAGATGACCGTTCCATTTATGTACAATTTTCGGGGCTTAATTAATTAATTCCCTACGATTTTCTGAAGTTTAATTTTTCCCATTTCACTCCCCATGTTAGCCCATTTTTCGTAGAAAAAAGGAAACCTAAAATTTTCGGAATCGAAAATGCGATGCAGAGAGGAATCAGAAAAACTATCACTTTAGTAAAACTTTAAATTGCAGCTAAAATTTTCGGGAAAATAATACTGAAGCCCTTGTACTCAAGTTGCCCTAGGATGACCGAACAGATATAAATTTTTTAGCGCCACTTAAAATACATTTCTAGCGATCTAAAAGTACTCTAGATAACCTAAAAAGTGTTTTCAAAGCATTTAGGAAGAAACTGTCGCTGGGTACCCCTGATGTTTATGCGTTAACTATTAGGAAATTTCTTAATGCGGGCATTGCCATGACTTACGTTTTACTACTTGGGATCCACAGCATAAAACTTGCGAACTACGTGTGTTGTTAGTTTACAACAACGGCGTTAACAGAGTCAGACAAACGAAGGGACAACATTCAGAAACCCACCTGTTTTCTGAAGCAAAGCTCGGTAGATTCTCGCGTAACCAATTCCAGCGTTGTCTTCGTTGATGGAGAGACGAGATTCGTTTGCATGAACCACAAAAACAGCGACGTCCATCACCAGCGAGGGTAAAATCTTCTCGCACACCTCACCCATCCGTTGCAATCCAAAAGCAAGACGATCAATCGAGAATTTGAAGCCATATTTCTCCTCAAGGTCAAGCAGAAACTTCTCCACTACTTCTAAGTTATAAGTGTTGTCAGAGTTAAAAAGGTAAAATTTTAACTGATTCGCCATGTCGTTTTCACCTCAATACTGCTCGCGGAGGTCATCCCTTTGGTAGAGAATTTCCCGGAATTTGAGACGACATCCGGGACTGCGAACTCGAACTTATGAGTGGTCACGCTTGGGGTCACAAAACATGACGCTTTTTCAAGGCGCCAATGTAGGAGATATTTTAGTCAATGAAGGTCGGGGAAAAACAAAAAATAAATAATAAAACAATAAAGATTCAATCTTCTTTATTAGTAAATTTTAATGAACGCGACCAGAAAGACTGATCTCATGATAGACACCGATAGACAGAACTACATCGACTACAAATGGGTTGTCTTTTTCATCACCATGTCGGTACGATATTGCATGTAATCACTACTTGCAGTCTCAGCGACTTGTCTGCAGTCAACAGTCGTTTACCATTTTGATTTACAAAAGAAATCTGGTCTGGCTCGTTTACCTTTTGCACAAATCAGTTAACGGCCGCGAAAGCCTGAAAATACTGAATGGCATCAAAGTTTCAACGAGGAACATTTTGCCCGGAAATACACTGGAGTAACATAAAAAATGGTGTTCCACCGATCACGCTCGGGGAGGAGCTTAGGCTCGTATCGCGAACAGCGGCTGGTAATCCAGCCTAGTTTCATTCACTTTTCAACCAGATTCAAAGGCGGATCCAGACTTTCAGATAAGGGGGAGGGGGGGCGGTCATACAGACTCTGGGATAAGGGGGTAGGGGCCTCATTTTGGTCTAAAAGTAAAGGGGGCCGGGGCCCCCGGGCCCCTCCCCTGGATCCGCCACTGAGATTTTCCGGAATCTTTTCGTATATGGTAAACAATTAACCGCGCCTAAACTAATCCTCGCTACTCCACAAATACCAGAGTAAGACAACCAAGCCAAGGACGCACGCCACAGTACAGACCTTATAGTTTCCCTTAAGCCAGGAAAAACACGGTCGAAATCTACCGGAACTTGACAAACCGCGCTCCCACCAATCGTCACTTGTCACCTTGACAACAGAATAAGAAACTCCTCCGTTACCAATACTGACGAAAGTTACTTTAGCCAAAGGTATGGACTTGAAGCCGCTCATAAGGTCTGACATCTGTTTCGCTGTTGGTCGCCATCCTCCTTCCTCCTGGAAGATGTCCTCAGGGTTGAATGAAATGCTTCCATAACGCACGTATGTCTCCAATAACACGGTCCCTGCTAGGTAAACAGGTGGTACTCCACTACCACCCATATTTAAAGCTAGAATATGAAAGAATCACACAGTTTATGAGGTGTATATTGTACTTTGCCTTCTGACTCTATTTCTTAACAAAGCGTGTCCTACGCACAAGCTCTTTTGACTTGTTACTTAATCCCCGCAACGAAGGGGAGGGGGGCGGGGACACCTGACGATAATCCCTGGGGTTCTCTCTCCAGCCTGCTTTCTCGAGGCAAGAGATCAAGGGAGAGAATCCTAGAAACGAGGTCGGCCTGAAAAGCTAAAATACGCCTGCGCTGGAGCCGAACAAGTGAAAGGAAAGAAAGGAAATGATATCATACAGATGACAACTATCTGGCCATCGACAATTTCAGATAAGATGATTTTTTTTGCGCAAAGAATGGTGTATTTCATCACAATTAATGATACAAGAAGGAACGTTTCAAGGCATAGCTTTTCTACCAACATCCATATCATATCAGATTACGATTCGATAACTTTAAACATCGGCGTAATTAGATACAACGATCAACAAAAGACCTACACTTTTAACACTATAACTATAATACGGATTTTCGTATGGGTGGTTCGTCAGTGAGAGATGAAGGTTAGACAACCAAGAGAAGATCCTAAAAAAAGGTGTATTTCTATGTTAATAGTAGTATATAAGTTTAACTATGTTTTTCCAAACACCCAAAGAGAGAGTATTTCACCTTCATAAGTGCCTTTGTCCAAATCATATGTCAACTCACTTTTTTGTGATTCCAAGTTGTTGAAGGATCTACGGTGAGGTGTATTAGCATCTTGAAAGTCCTGGAAAAGGATAGACAAGGAGACTCAACAACTTTGAATTATGATGAATAAACAGCTTCAGATTTTTATGGTACTTGTTATTTGAATTCTATTTAACAATTAGAATTCCATTTTGTGTTTTCTGTGAGTCTGTAGTCCACCATAAAAACACAACATAATTATCTTTTGCACACCTAAAATTTTTGAAAACGTCTTTTGTTTGGTTTCTACTAAGTGCTGCCAGTTTTAAAAGGAGGGAAAGCTTGGGAGAGTACTTTCTTATAAGAGGCTAATGGGGATGAGCCGTTGGATGGGGTCGCACCGGAGTGGCTAAGGTGGGGTCTATAATTGGCCACAGAATAGACTATAATGGGGTATGGCTCTGAGAGGCCAGCAGCACATGCCAAGCAAACATGAACCCCCCTGGAAAGGACCATAACTGCGGAAATGAAATGAAAATGAAGAAATGATCGTCGCAGTAAACGCAATTTATGCAATTGCGTAAAGAAGCCTGAAAAAAATTTAGGACTTCAACGGGGTTTGAATCCGTGACCTCGCAATTACTGGTGCGATGCTCTACCAACTGAGCTATGAAGCCACTGACGTTGGGAGCAGGTCAATTGTTGGTTCATATGTTCCCGTGAAAGAAATGAGTGTTAATGATATATGAAATAAATCATGTATGAACTGCGGAAATGAAATGAAAATGAAGAAATGATCGTCGCAGTGAACGCAATTTATGCAATTTCGTAAAGAAACCTGAAACTTCAACGGGGTATGAACCCGTGACCTCGTGATTACCGGTGCAATGCTCTGCCAACTGCTATGAATCCACTGACGTTGGGAGCAGGTCAACTGTGGCTGTAAATTGCTTCTTTATGCAATTGCATAAATTGCGTTCACTGCGACGATCATTTCTTCATTTTCAGAATTTTAATTGTAAGAAACAGGGCGGTGCCTTGAACGGGTCAAGGGTTCCATTTCCCCAGTTATTATTATTATTATTATTTCTTTTTTTTTTTATAATTCTTGTAATTAAAATTTTTTTAAATTTTATTTCTTCAATCGTATGTCTTCTGTTCAAAAAAAAAAAAGCGGGAGTTAAGAGGAAGGGGGGAGTTTAACCTTTTTACTACCAGAGTGGATGATGGAGTCTTGTTAGGTCGCGATTCTGTAAAAGAAATCCTATGTTGTCACCATTCAAATGAAATGTCCTTGGCAGGACTTAAGATAGAATTTCAATTTCGAATTCGCCTTTGGCGAGCGAAAGGATTAATTATTCCGACAATTTAAGGGAAGAAGGAGGTTATCGCCTACCTCTCTGCTTATATCTGTGTCTGCACTGGCTGATCGAAGATCCACGTGCGGTATGGGCTCCGGCAAGGGTTTGGGAAGGGTGTATTCAAACTTGGATCCCCTCTTCCCGGGATCGAGGTAATGCCGCATTGCTTCCTCGTGAATCGGTCGGTGTTTTTCATTCCAAGAGAAGATAAAGCTTTGCCTTCCATCCAGATACTCTTCACCGAACTGCGAAGCCACCTTCCTTTTTGCCCAGCGCGAGATGACAGACCGCCCTTGTTCGTCTTCATCCCGGTAGTTATTGTCTCCGCCTATCACGATCAACACTTTGTTATCTGAAAAAAAATAGGCACGGAAACGTGTATACAAACAGTTCTCAGCGTTTTGATACACCGTAAGGGAGGCGCGGCTGCTCCGCCGTTAGTGCTCCATCACTCGTATGAAGAGGAGTAACAATGGACACTCATGTAAACTGATATTTCTATCCCGAGCAGGGGCGTAGCTAGCTTTTCGACCAGTTGTAGGTCTGGGTGACTTTCATTTCCACATATCCTGAAAACTGCACACACAACCTAGTATGCACTGACCTAACCAACACTTCCACGGTTTAGAGATGTGTAACATTTAGGTAAAGTGATCAAACCAAAAAATTGTTGGCCCAGGCCTTCAGGTCCATGGGATGGCTACGCCCCTGCCGAGTAAAAAAAAAACGGGGCTTAATAACAGTTCCATCGATCTACTAGCTCCAACGATCTGTTGATCCATGGCGATGTCCTCAACTTACCAACCATCTATCTATCAAATATTTACTAGTTTGTTGATCTATCAATACATCCTCCTACCTAAGATGTCATTGACTTTGTTTGATTATGGTCACAATGTATTCATTATATATTAGACTGGACATTCGAAAAAGCAGCTGCTGAAACTGCAGCCAATAGACAGGAGTATTGAGAGGAAAAGCACATAGAAATAGGGGAGGGGGCAAATGAAAAGGAAACAGCAGTGGTTGTTCTTTTATATTTAAAACGCCCCATGAAAAGGAATCCAAGACAGTCTTGCATTTTGGATTCCTCGCCATGGATTCCGGATCCATCTACTGGAGTCCAGACTCTTTGTCCGTGGAACTTGGATTCCGTATTCTATCTTTAGCTGGATTCCGGATTCCGAAGCCCAGGATTCCTGGATTCCACGTGCAAAAATTTCCCGGATCAAGGATTCCACAAGTGAGAAAGTTTAACAATTATTACTCGAGCCTGAATGGGCTCTGAGTCAATAGCGGCCGAATGGGCTATTGACTCAGAGGCCATGAGGGCAAGAGGAATAATTATTTTAGTAAAATCCAACCGATTGATCAAAAATATCGAGAATAAAAAATTTTTAGTTCCTTAAAGCTAGACTTTAATCCTTTTTTCCGCCAAAAAGCCGGCGCTTTTCGCTACTAGTGGGCTATAACATATAGCCTAATAGTAGCTCAACCAATCAGAACGCGGCATTGATAATAGACCACTAGTTGGGTTTTACTAAAATAACATAGTTCTATTCTTCAAGTGATTCGTCAGGGATGGCCTGACTGCTTCAGATAATGATTAAATACGACACACTTCCTTATACTCTAAATATTGCCAGGTAAAAGTATTCTTTTGTTTCTTGGCCTTCTAAAATGTAACAGATTTTCTTGTAGTGATGGTCATTCCCAGAGGAAAATAAAATTTGCTTCTTTAGTTTTTGTTTACTAGTACAAACATTTAGCTGCACGACTAGATCTATGAGAAACAGGCACCTTTGTTTAGCTCTGTTTCGTACCTTGCTCCTTCGTACATGTCAAAGTTTTTTCTTTCCAAGCAATGCTTCCGGTTTTGTCAATGACTGTGCAAGATCTTCCAATAACTGGTATCGCCTGACAATCTTCCAAGAAATACTTCCGCCCTTCGGGTGACATGCCGTGACACGCGACCTCGTGACGATCGAAATCGAAAGTACTCTATGGCTATGTTTTCACTAGGACAATTTTAACTAGATAAAGCCGGAAAAGTCCGGAAATACAGTGAAAACACCTCGTCTTGGTTTGAGCTAGTTAAAAAATGCAAGCCGTTTTCAGAAGCAAAAACAAGGGATTTTCTCGCCTTTACGAGCGGAAACTCACGCAGAGTTATACTACCTCGCGAGATGGTATAACTTGTCCTGATAAACGCCGTAGCCAATCGGGTCGCGCGTAGTGGCAGATGCCTGCCAAATAATCTGGCAATATTATTTTCCAGACTATTGCCTCTTTGTTGAGCTTGAGAAATTCAACATGGAAGAGAATTCCGACAGCCATTTCTTTCGATTTACAATCCTACCGACCCCATTGGATTCTCCATTTCTTCGGCCAGGTCCTTAAACCAGAATTGTGGTCTTGGATAAACCCACATAGTCTTGCGCTTATCCCAGTTATGGCACTGAATGTTGTTTCGTTGTTGGATTGACAGAATTAAAAGATTTCGTCGCATCTTCCTCATTTGTAAGGACATAAGCCTCATTTGCTGAATAAAACTCCTTCTCCCTCGCAAAAATACAGCGCAAATAATCACTAGAGAAGGCCGGCATTACAAGCACTTCGTCCCCTTTCAATTTTTATTGTGGCGCGCTTTTGCAATTTGAATCCACTGAATAAGTAGCTTAGATTGCCGGTTAAATTTCACAGTGAAACCAGTTGTCACGTTTAACTAGGAAAAGTCGGTTTGTAAACAAATCCTAGAAAGAATGTTCAGCTAGTTAATCGCCCTAGTGAAAACACAACCTATGTAGTTTACTCTCTTCTTACGCTTTATTCATTGATTTACCATTTTTTATCCTGATTTTTTTACACAAACCGGATTGAAGCAGATTTCAGTCAATAAGAACCTTAACCGTGAAAGGCAGAATAGGCTGCAATGTTTGATTAATATAGAGAGAAAAAAGGTAGCCTGAGTATCAGGCGTCCTAAAATCTCCCCTCCCCTAGCCCCTTAGGAAGGCCTGATACCGAGGCTAGAGAAAAGGTGCCACATAACACTTCCGCCTTTCCAGTGCAGTAACTTAAGTTGCTATTTAAGTTTTTTAACTTACGCGTTTGCTATTGGGAAATTTCTTAATGCAGGCATTGCCATGTCTTAATATAAGTTTTACTACTTGGCATCCACAGCATGAAATTTGCGAACTAGATGTGTTGTAAGTTTAAAACAACGGCGTTAACAGACTCAAACAAACTAAGGGACAACATCCAGAAACCCACCTGTTTTCTGAAGCAAAGCTCGGTAGAGTCTCGCGTAACCAATACCAGCGTTGTCTTCGTTGATGGAGAGACGAGATTCGTTTGCATGAACAACAAAAACAGCGACGTCCATCGCCAGCTTGGGTAAAGTCTTTTCGCACACTTCAGCCATTAGCGGTAACCCAAAAGTGAGACGATCAATCGAGAATTTGAAGCCATATTTCTCCTCAAGGTCAAGCAAAAACTTCTCCACTGCTTCTAAGTTATAAGTGTTGTCACAATTAAAAAGGAAAAAATTTAACTGCTTCGCCATGTCGTGTTCACTTCAATACTTGTCGCAGGGTCGTCTCTTTGTTGGGGAATTTCCCGGAACTTGGGACGACATCCGGGAATACGCACTCGCCGAACTTGTTAGAGGTCACGCAGGTAGTCACAAAATTGATGATTTTCCAAAAGCGCCATTGTAGGAAATGGTATTACGTGAACAGATTTATATTCAAGTTAATGAAGGTCGGGGAGAAAAACAAAAATTTCTACAAATAAATAAGTCTGTAGACAGCAAACAATAAGGATTGAAAAGTGTTTATTAAACTTTTAATCAACGCGACCAGAAAGCTTGGTCTTGAAAGATAGACAGAACTAAATCGACTACAATATTGTTGTCTTTTTCATCAACATGTTGCTACGATATTACATGTAATCTGTACTTGCAGTCTCAGCGACTTGTTAGCAGTCAACAGTTGTTTACCATTTACATGAGAAAACTGGCAGTGTTTACCATCCTTAGTGCACAAATCAGTTAACGGCCGCGAAAGCCTGAAAATGGTATCAAAGTTTCCGCTTGGAACCTTTCGCCCGGAAAAACAGGACTACCTTTTCAGATGTTCCGTTGCTCCCGGAAATTTTCCACTGCAATAACATAAAAAATCGTACGCATGTTCCAGAGAACACGCTCAGGGGCAGGCTCATATCCCGAACAGCGGTTGGTAATCGACCCTTATAAGTTCCATTCACTTTCCAACCAGATTTTTCGGAATCTCTTCGTAAATGGTAAACAATTAACCGCACCTAAACTAATCCTTACTACTCCACAAATACCCGAGCAAGACAACCAGGCTTAAAACGCACGCCACAGTACAGACCTTGTAGTTTCTCTTAAGCCAGGAAAAACACGGTCGAAATCTACCGGAACTTGACAAACAGCGCTCCCACCAATCGTCACTTGTCACCTTGACAACAGAATAAGAAACTCCTGCGTTACCAGTACTGACGAAAGTTACTTTAGCCAAAGGTATGGACTTGAAGCCGCTCATAAGGTCTGACACCTGTTTCGCTGTTGGTCGCCATCCTCCTTCCTCCTGGAAGATATCCTCACGGTTAAATGAAATGCTTCCATAACGCACGTATGTCTCCAATAACACGGTCCCTGCTAGGTAAACAGGTGGTACTCCACTACCACCCATATTCAAAGCTAGAATATGAAAGAATCACACAGTTTATGAGATGTATGTTGTACGTTGCCTTATAACTCTATTTCTTAACAAAGCGCGTCCTACGCACAAGCTCTTTTTACTTGGTACTTAATCCCTGCAACGAAGGGGTGGGGGCGGGGACGCCTGACGACCATCCCTGGGGTTCTCTCTCCAGCCTTCTTTCTCGAGGCAAGAGAGAGAATACTGGAAACGAGGTTGGTCTGAGAAGCTAAAATACGCCTGCGATGGAGCCGAACGAGTTAACGGAAAGAAAGGAAATGATATCATAGAGATGACAACTATCTGAGCTGGCCATTGACAATTTCAGATAAGAACCTTTTTTTACGCAAAGAATAGTCTATTTCATCACAATTAATGATACAAGACGGAACGTTTCAGAGCATATTTGTTCTATCAACATCCACATCATATCAGATTACGATTCGATAACTTTAAACATCGGCGTAATATAGATACAACGATCAACAACTAAAAAAAGAAAAACAACAACGTTTTAAACTTTGGAAAAACATACACTTTTAACACTATAACTATAATACGGTTTTTTGTATGGGTGGTTCGTCAGTGAGAGATGAAGGTTAGACAACCAGGAGAATATCCTAAAAAAAGGTGTATTTATAGGTTAATAGTAGTATATAAGTTTAACTATGTTTTTCCAAACACCCAAAGAGAGAGTATTTCACCTTCATAAGTGCCTTTGTCCAAATCATATGTCAACTCACTTTTTTGTGATTCCAAGTTGTTGAAGGGTCTACGGTGAGATGTATTAGCATCTTTAAAGTCCTAGAAAAGGATAGACAAGGAGACTCAACGACTTTGAATTATGATGAATCAACAGCTTCAGATTTTTATGGTACTTGTTATTTGAATTCCTTTTAACAATTAGACTGCGATTTTGTGTTTTCTGTGAGTTTATAGTCCACCAGGAAAAACAACATAATTATCTTTTGCACACCTAAAATTTTTGAAAACGTCTTTTGTTTGGTTTCTGCTAAGTGCTGCTAGTTTTAAAAGGTGGGAAAGCCCGGGAGAGTACTTTCTTATAAGAGGCTAATGGGGATGAGAAGCTGGATGGGGTCGCATCTGAGTGATAAGATAGGGTCTATAATTGGCCACAGAATAGACTGTAATGGGGTATGGGCTCTGAGAGGCCAGCAGCACATGCCCCCCGGGGGGGGGGGACGGAAAGGACCGTAACTTGCTGCTTATCGTCAGCTTTTTTTCAATTTAAGGTAAATAAGAAAAAGATTCTTGGTAATAATTTTGGCTAATATTTGGACGAGAATAGAAAATTTGTCGCAAAAAGTATCGTCCTCGACTTGATAATATTTTTTAACTGATTGGTTTATAATAATTTTGTTCTTCATAGCGAAGCAATATTGATTTGATTTCTCATACTAACTGCTCGACATAGGGGGCATTTAACCTATTTTAAAATAAAAAATGCCCGGGGATTGTTAGTTGTAGGAGGAGCGCTCTCTTGAATTGACTTTACCGAACATTCCTTAGAGAATTAACCCTTAGTTCTTACAAAAAGGATGTTTGGAAGAAAGGAAACGGAAATTAGCTTTACCCCCGGTCTCGGGTAAGTGCCCGTTGTCCAGGGGGCCGCAGATGGTTCAGGCTTCGGTAAGGGTTGAGGGACCACAGGTGCTACGGGCTTGGGCAGGGGTTTGGGAGGTGTGTATTCAAACTTGCATCCTCTTTTGCGGGGTTCTAGAAAGTGGTACATCGCTTCCTCGTGAATCGGTCGGTGATTTTCATTCCAAGAGAAGATGAAGCTTTGTCTTCCATCCAGAAACTCTTCACCAAACTGGGAAGACACCTTCCTTCTCGCCCAGCGCGAGATGACAGACCGCGTTTTTTCGTCTTCATCTCTGTAATATTTGTCTCCGCCTATCACGATCAGCACTTTATTATCTGAAAGAAAAGTGGCAACATGGAATGGCTGTAAATTGAGCAGTATACAGAGTTTTCTATCAAGGAAGATCATTGCACTTATAGACGCAACTTTTGCAGTTGCGAAAAGAAACCCTGAAAAAAAATCGGAATTGTACGGGATTCTAAATCTTGACCTCTGCGATACCGGTGCAGCGCTCTACGAATTAAGCTAACGAGACAACTGGGAGCAAGTCGTTGAATTGGTTCGTTATAAACCCGTTAAAGGATGATGATAAAGTAATGAATATATGAAAATCATATTTGTAAACTGCTGAGTGAGGAATTATATGAAGGAAGATCATTGTAGTTATAGACGCAACTGCAAAAGTTGCGCTCTAACTGCGATGATCTACTTTATAATTCAGACCCTTTATAATTCTTCACTCCGCAGTTCACATTTATGATTTTCATATATTAATAACTTCATACAGAGCTTTGATGTGATACATTAAACCTGGCTGACACGAAGGTCAGGATTTCAATATATTTATTATAGCTCTATTTACATTCAACCCACTATTTTATTACGATCAAAGTATCAATCATTTAATTTCGTGGGTGTGTTTACTAAATTTTCTACAGTTTATGTTGAATTCAGTGTTACAAAATCTTTCCGAAAAGCGTTTCCGGTTTCAGTGGTCACCTTCCATGCCTGAGGTATTTCCAAGAAATACTTCCGCCCTTGTCACCTAATATCTTTCGGTATCGAAAGTGTTGTAACACTTCCGCCTTTCTGAGAAACGCTTCCGGTTTCAGTGGTCACCTGTCATGGCCGAGGCTTTCCAAGAAATGCTTCCACTCTTGTCTCCTAAATATCTTATGAAAAACATTGGACACTATTGCGAAATCTCTCTAAGATATCCTTCCGGTTTTCTAATGTCGTGCCAGACCATCATTTCTTTACGTGGCACTCCGTCACGTGGCCTCGAAGTTAGATATCGAAAGTGTCGTAGCACTTCCGCCGTGCCTTATGCATACGTGGCTCTATAAAACGTATGAATGACTTTCTGTTTTCATATCACCATTATCTGTGCGTTAATTTTTGGAAGACTCTTTAATGACGGGTATTAAATGGGGTCTGCGTTGAATTTATAAAATATATACAATGCCACTGTTCTGAAGTTTAGCCTCAGAAAGAATGGAGGCCAATGCGAGCTACATTAAAACCCACCTGTTTTTTGAAGCAGAGCACGGTAAAGCCTCGCGTAACCAATCCCAGCGTTGTCTTCGTTGATGGAAAGACGAGATTCGTCTGCATGAACAACAAAGATAGCATAATCCATTACCAGGTGAGGTAATGTTCTGTCGCACACCTCAGCCATTCGTTGCAGACCAAAACAAAGACGATCAACCGAGATTTTGAAGCCATATTTGTCGCCTGCCTCNTCTTTCGGTATCGAAAGTGTTGTAACACTTCCGCCTTTCTGAGAAACGCTTCCGGTTTCAGTGTTCACCTTCCATGCCTGTATTATTTCCAGAAATGCTTCCGCCCTTGTCACCTGATATCTTTCGGTATCGAAAGTGTTGTAACACTTCCGCCTTTCTGAGAAACGCTTCCGGTTTCAGTGGTCACCTGTCATGGCCGAGGCTTTCCAAGAAATGCTTTCGCTCTTGTCACCTAAATATCTTATGAAAAACATTGGACACTATTGCGAAATCTCTCTAAGATATCCTTCCGGTTTTCTAATGTCGTGCCAGACCATCATTTCTTTACGTGGCACTCCGTCACGTGGCCTCGAAGTTGGATATCGAAAGTGTCGTAGCACTTCCGCCGTGCCTTTTGCATACGTGGCTCTATAAAACGTATGAATGACTTTCTGTTTTCATATCACCATTATCTGTGCGTTAATTTTTGGAAGACTCTTTAATGACGGGTATTAAATGGGGTCTGCGTTGAATTTATAAAATATATACAATGCCACTGTTCTGAAGTTTAGCCTCAGAAAGAATGGAAGCCAATGCGAGCTACATTAAAACCCACCTGTTTTTTGAAGCAGAGCACGGTAAAGCCTCGCGTAACCAATCCCAGCGTTGTCTTCGTTGATGGAAAGACGAGATTCGTCTGCATGAACAACAAAGATAGCATAATCCATTACCAGGTGAGGTAATGTTCTGTCGCACACCTCAGCCATTCGTTGCAGACCAAAACAAAGACGATCAACCGAGATTTTGAAGCCATGTTTGTCGCCTGCCTCAAGCAAAAGCTTCTCAACTGTCTCTAAACTATAAGTGTTGTCGCAGTTAAAAAGGTAAAACCTTTTCTGCTGATACGACATGTCGCCGGATCGCTTGTAAGGCACAAGTTGTCTGTGACAATGATAATCTATTTTGGCATTTCCCGGAAATTGTAAGGCCGTCATTGGCAAATGCGCGCGCACACTCTAAACTTTATGTTAGCAGGTAGCAACAACGGCGACATACGCGACAGGGAAAACGTCATTAGCTTTAATTTGCGTTATTCACCAAAATCTGAAGAAGTTTCCTAAAGTTCAATTCCTTGGAAAGCAATAGTTCGCAGAGGCAATTTTTTTAAAAAGCTTTACATTATGGTTCTTCGTTTTGAACAAGGTGCACAGAAAAAAGTGTTTCTCTGAAGAGAAGGCTTAGCTCGGAGCATATTCTGGGGCCTAACGTAGTTTCCGTTCAGATGCATAATAGCGTATCTATCTCCTACATAACTTTTGTTTCCTAAAACGTCACTGAACCGTAAATGAACGAAAATTGGTCATGTGATAGATTGTCATGGCAGCCCTTGTGAAGAACTAACCCAAGCATTTTCTTCCAGCAATGGACCACCTCCTTACTTTCTTTAATAGACTGAAAAGGAACGTAGCCTTAGTTAACTACCTGAACCAAATGTTTTGGATACCATAAAAACTTTCAAATGATTGGCAGCAAAAGAATAACACATAAAAATGCCAGCAAAGCAATACCTTAATTTTTTATTTTGCTTTATGTCATTATCACGAAGAGAAAAATTAACATTACTTCTTGAGGAATGACAACAGATAAATAAATGACGGATATAAATCTATATTGTTTAATGCCTACTACCTACAAACTTTCGGGTGAGAGGAGCTGTCTTCACGCTTTCCAGCCCTGAACAAAGACTCTCTGCTGAACAAGTTCTAATATGCACTTAATGAAAAGTCTTAAACAATTATCACGAAACTAAATCGCAGTTACACCAGCAGTCACATTTATATCTAAACCACTGTTACGCAGGCCACGCTGTGAGCGAGAGCTTTCTTTTGTCGTCTTCTTGATTGAGGAGGAGAAAAGGAGGTTCTGCCTCAATCACGTCAAGCATGTAAAGTCGCCGCAGCCTGAACTATCTTGTTTCTCTCGTCAAACAGGGTTTTGAAGAGCAAGCACTCGTTTATTGATTAATCGACTGTCATAACTGATTCCCCGATACTAGACGCTCGCTATTTGGCCTAGGGCTTTCCACAATTGCAAGTTGCAGTCGAGATTTTCCAAAGGGTTTCCCATAATTTCTCAAAAAGTTGCTCAAAAGTTACTAAAAAAAAAATCAAAATTGCTTTTTGTAACGAAAGTTTCTCAAACGTTGCTCGAAAAAGAAAAAACTTTTTTTGGTTTGATTCTAAGATATGGAAATTGTACAACAAAAGAAATATTTCTAAGCATTAATGTGCAATTTTGCTGCGTAACCAGCGTTGCTAAATAAATTTATCCTCAATTAAAACCAAAAAATGTAATGAGCCAATTAAATTGTTGCATAACGTTCTTCACCCGAGACACTCAAGTCAGTCGAGTGTGAATCTTCGTCCACTATGCTTTGAATTTTCTATAAAAACCGCTGACCTAGCAGCCAGGCTACTTTTATCGTGCGCCCATGATCTGCCCCAGGGAGGGGGGTAAGGATTTTACAGGTCATTCTTAAATTGTCTACTACAACATTGTGAAATATGAAAAAAGGGCAATTAAGGCAATAAAAGCTGCTCCGACATTTCAGAATTAGACTGATAACTAGAGAAATTGCTCAGAATGCAACAAGTTGACGAAATACGAGAAGTTGCCAAAAAGTTTCCGACTAACTTGTGGAAAGCCCTAATTTGGCCTAGGTTCGAGACTGTATCCTAGCAACATGCGGCGCATGCTCAATAAAGACCTTAATCGATTTATGAGTCTTTCCCGAGGAAGGCAAATTCGAGGAAGCGGAAGAAAAGGCTCTGGTGGCAGTGTTCTGTTACGCCAGTTACGCCAATTGTACCCAAAAACAATAATGTGCGCTTACTCCCTGGCAAAATACAGTATTTATAGAATTTTACCTATTCAGACCATTTTTACTGTCGCAATACGGATGCAACAGTGGCGAGGCTAGGAGGGCTCAAAAAAAGGTTGAAATTCTCACTAAAATACATGTACTACATCACGAAGAGAGGCACCACCCAAAAGAAGACCTTAGCCTGCTCATGCCGCGAAAATTTGAAAGTCTCTTCCCAAGGTCACTGCAAGGTCAACACATAATCAAGAGAACAGGTTATGAGAATTGTCAACTGACCGCCAAAAAAGATGCTTTGATCTTTTTAAATTTTCTTAGCTATATTACAGAAATATAGGGAGATAAGTCTGAAGAATTTGTAAACATTAATAAGCACCTGTCCCCTCTTCTTTTTTTGGCCCTTACTACGCCTAAGAAGCTAACTTAAGGACTATATAAGTTTGATTCAGGGGCACCCAACGAGAATATAGTTCAAAAACACTTAAACATAGCATTGTTGAACGTATTTTAATATTTAAACGGTAGATATCGGCATATTTTTGTTCCCTAAAACTTTTCATCTGTTCGGATATCCTAGCTGAAAGACTAGTGATCAGAAAATTATAGGCATCAAGACTTACCTTTTCGAAAACTTTAGCCAGAAAAAAGGCTCCCGAAAATTCTAGGTGATCTTTATAGAGTAAAAATCCGTTAAAAATGGGCAATTGTACCATTTTTTTATAGTTCAAAAATCCTAGGAGAGTCAGGCAAGCAAGAAATTTTACAACAAACGTTCCGAAAATTCTAGATCTCAAATCGCCTTCCGAACAGGTATTTTCCAAAAATTGACGTTGGGTGCCCCTATTGATTGATTTACTGGGTCGAACCTACTCCCCTGATATGAACTCAGGATGGCTATTTGTTTCTCAAACGATTTCTTCTGCCCTTTTCCCATAGGATCGTCGGGATCGAGCATCTACCCTAAGGGCGGCCATTTTCGTTTCATATGTACTGAGTCTAGCCTGGGAGTTAGTATAGAATTTAAACCAAGATGGCCGCCGTAACGGAAAGCGCTTGATCCCAAAAATCAAGGTATAATACTGTACTTTCAAAAACCTATGAATGAGAACGCTAATTCGAAAGCCAGAAAAAGTAAACAACTATAACATTCAAAACATTTTTGTCGTGGGTGTACTGTGCGAACATTAGAGACTTGGTCGTAAAGTCAACCTGACCAGCTCTTGTAATTAGGCTCCTCCGTGTTTTCCACAGGGGATTTTTCAGCTCTGCCTTGAGGTTCGGATATGGATCTCTTGGGACTTTCTCTCTGAACCTGCCGCATCTTGATTGACCTCTCGCCACACTTTAAGGCTTGCTCTAACATCTTCAGCACTTCCTTCTTGTACGCCGGGTCAAACTCTTGATCAGGTGTTGAGTTGGCGATCAAGAAGACATCTCTCGGTTCGCTTCCAGTGACCTCCCTCGCTGCTTCCTTTAATCTTCTTCTTTTTTCGTCAGGATTCGGCAATTCTCGTATTTCATCGTCAAAAGTGATGACCGTGATAATCGTAATGACTATAACATAACAGCAAGAAATAAAATAAATCAGGCTTGACACTGTAACATGTAGCCTACCATTCTACTAGCACGCTTTAATTCCATTTTCCCTTCACTTTCAAACTTCCACACTCAAACTATGTGACATGTATCATGGGGAGAAAGTACGAGAACCTGATCGAAAATTTGGTGTCATCGACTGAAGTTTAAGCCGTCATTTCCAGTATAAGCTCCAGTTAGTTCTCTTCGTTCGTTTTCTGGAAAGAAAATCTTTTTTCCTATTCAGTTCGCCTTATTAGAGAGGCTGCATTTCCTCGAGCGGATGCCCCTCGGCTCGTGTGACTTTGCCACAGTAGTACCGTATTTATTTGATCACGTGCCGCGGCGTTTATTAAATTTTAAGCGTTTCTTATGGGGCGCTTATTCACATTGATTTCTTGACTGTCATAATTTCCGACAAATCATTTGTAAATATTATAAAAACAGAAAGATGTTAAATTTCCGTGTCTCGTTATTTTTTTCTAAGATAGAATTTTAAGGTGTTAAAATAGTTTAGATTCTATCTTCTGGATCGAAAGCAGTTTTTAATGGTCGGTTGAGTCAAATCAGCTGTTAAAGATCTACGCTTTGGAGTTTCACAAGGGTCTGTCCTTAGCCCGATGCTTTATCTGTTGTACACGTCGCACCTCTTGGGGACATCATTAAACAGCATAATCTTGATTTCAACTTTTATGCTAACGATGTTCAGCTCTATTTGGCCTTTAAGGCTAATGCAGCCGAACAATCTGGCTCAATAGACTTAATAGCATGTAAGCGTGTGTTAGTGAGATAGATTTATAGGTGGTGTAGAAAACTTGTAAAAGTTCAATAAGCACAAGACTGAACTGCTGATTTTGAGTGGCCATCATCGCCCACTTCCATCAATAGAGCATATTGAAATATCCTGCGAATGGATCTAACTATCTTCTTCGGCCGAGAATATTGGTGTTACATTGGACCAACACTTGTCCCTTGACCAGCATGTTACTAGCATCTGCAAATCATTCTATTTGCAGTTGCCCAGCATAGCAAGGATAAGGGACTGTTTATCAACAACTGACGCTGAAATCGTAGTTCACGCCTTTATCACTAGCTTCCAGACTAGATAGCTGTAACTCATTACCATACGGTCTGCCTAAATTTTTAATAGATCGTTTACAGAATGTACAGAACTCGCTGCAGAACGATCCGCGACCTATTACACGAGGCAGGAAGTACGCGACCACATTACGCCTATTTTAAAACACAGTCCACTGGCCTCCCTTCAGTCAATGCATTATCAGTTTGTATTATTTTGAATTAGGCTCCTGTTTTGTCATGGGCTCCTGTTTTAATTTATTACGAATAACCTATAAAGTACTCAACGGAATAGCACCTGCCTGCATTAAAGGTTTGCTTAAGCTATACGTACCGACCAGGATCTTGCGATCCTCAACACCGACGGAACCTGCTTGAAGTAGAATCACTTAATTTACATGTAGTTGGTTACCTATGACAAAGGTCTTTCTCTTTTGCATCACCTTATTGGTGGAATTCACTTCCAGAGTATATTCGCGGAAGTATCTTATTATCAATCTAAAATCCAACATTAAGACTACCTTTTCAAACATACTTACGGGGACTAGGTTTTTAGTCAATGTAATATATAGATTATCTAATCATTCCAATTTTTTAGATGTTATCTTATCAAATTGTAGTGATTTAGTTTTTAGAATAGCTTAGAATTTTTAAGTAGGATTTTTATCGTAACTTTAATGTCATTCGTCAGGTATTCTTTTTATTATCATTTGATGTAAGTTTTTAATTCGGCATTATTTTTCTTTCTTATGAATTCTGTAAAGCGCTATTGGGCTTTGGAAATGGCGCTACATAAATAAAGTTTATTATTTAACACTATTATTAATTGTCTGGATGGTGTAGACTAACAAGCACCGAGTGTTTTTTTCTTATAATCCTCAAATAAACGCCACATTCCGTCTGATTGGATGCAGCGTTTATTCGAGGGCGGCATTTAATCGATTAAATACGGTATGCAACTATCTGCTACTGGGTCTTTGAAGATGGGGATGTCTCTCCGGGGTCCTCTCTAAACCTATTCGGAGACAGAATAAATGTTCTAGATCGAGATTATCCCATAACAATCAGAATTAGGGGGTTGAGCGACACAAATGGGATTAAAGAATCTTAGTCCCTGATCGCAGTACGCAAAATTTTGTCTGTTTTGCTAAAAATCTGTCAACAGGAAGCCATTTCTAGTGCAAACGTTTTTTTTTTTTTTTCACCTACCAAAACTTCCTAAAGCGCCGCCAAACTTCAAAGAAGCCGTCGAGAAGTTTTGGAGGCCTACAATTTTTTGTCATGCAACAAAATCCTTTGTTCCATGACAGCTATCCTTCGTCAGGTCATCTTATTTCGCTAACGATACCAATCATGTGATTTAATCGAAATTGACGTAACTTCTTTCGCGTGTCTCAGGTGCAAACAAAGTTACCAAATTTTCAAATTGTTTTGCAATTTTTGTGTCGTAGTGCGAACAGGGCCTAATTTGAGGGTCCCCAATAGGTTTTCGGGATACGGGATTTCCCTTATTTGAAGATCGGGATTCGAAATTGAAAGTATGCGCAGGAGGTGGGATGCTTAAAATAACCATCGGGATTACGGGATTACTCGAAATTTTGGGTCGGGATTAGGGGATTGAAATACCCTTTTGGGGATCCTCTTATTTGCGTCCCTTTAAAGGACATGTGCACTATGAGAAAGGTAAAGAACTCACTTTGTTCTCTCGCTTTGTGCTGAACAAACTTGATTATGTCACTATATATTCCTTTTTCAAATCTGATATCATTAGCTTTTATGACCCACAATATGACATGCATTTGATCCGCAAGAGGAGGTTTTTTAAGCTTGTGAGCACCGACCCCGCCAGTGGCTGCTTTTTCGGCACCCCTGTCGCCTCGCACCAGTTCCTCTCCAGTTCGCTCAATTCCAAAAAGAATACGAAACAGCTCCCCTATTTGAATAAAAAAGAATTGCATTGTGACTTGCCCTCCAAAATGAAACCAGTCCATCCGAGGCAAGAAAACTGGTTAGTTCTGATTGGTCGGGTACAAGACCAGAGAGCGGTAGACCCAGTTCGATTTCTGGGTTTACCAACACTCAGGGTCTTACAACATTGAGGAAAAGGTACTACCTTTGTTTCAAATATGGTAGACCTTCCATCCTTTTCGGAAAAGGTTGGAAAACCGACAGACCCTTCTTTGAAAGGTAAAAAGAGCTGCTGGGGGGAGGGGGTTCAAGGACAAGGTTTCTGGCAGTGACCACCCATTGTGTGCAGTTCATGGCCATGGGTGGATATATTCTGTAGACTGAGAGAGATCTTAAGGTTGCTGAATACAGTTTTGGCAGTTTGTGAACATATGTCATTTGGCAAAATGTGGCAAGAGAAGGGTTGCAGCTCACAAGCTGAAACTTGGCAAGTGAAAAATATACTGATGAAAGATTTTGATTGACAGGTAAAATTTGTCATTTTCGTAGTTTCCATGGCAACATGAACGATTGAATACAACCTTAAAATTTCACTTTTGCTCAGTTTACATAAAATTCTTTCATTAGGTTTTCCTATAAACTTGCACACAGCTTACTATAATTAATCATTACCATTTGAAACTTATTTGACCAAATTTTAACAGACAGATTTTTAGATAATCAATAATATATTTGTATTGTAATTATCAAATGTGTCACAAAAATCGTCGGTTCAACTTCCATTTTAAAGTTCTCATTATTTAAAGTACGTTAAAAGTAAAAATGCTGCCAAATATCACAAAATTTTAATGAGTAGATTTTGAGAAATTGTCTTCTCTGTACCATTGCTTTTTTTGCCGCCATGTTTGTTTGTCTAATTTAAAACACGCGCCGTCACTCGAGTTACCGCTGACCTCCCGCAAAACTGTGTTCAGCCATTTTCATTAACAGTCATAAACAGAGTATGCATGGCAGAACTATTGAAGAGGTGACTGGGGGTACCAGGGGCGGATCTAGGGGGAGGGTGCAGGGGGTGCGCACCCCCCCCCCCCCCNACCGCCCGCAAAACTGTGTTCAGCCATTTTCATTAACACTCCATAAACAGAGTATTCATGGCAGAACTATTGAAGAGGTGACTGGGGGAACTTACCATTTACATGGGAAAACTGGAAATTCCGGAAGGAAAATCAAATGTTTCGCGACTTTCCGTTTGGGAAGCTTCCGAAAACAGGCAATGCAATTTTTCTCGCACTTTTTTTAAGCCTGTTCAGCTGATTTGGATATACTGTATTTAATTTTTATAGCGCGTCGTTCTCCCACCGATTTCCACCGATTTCCACCGGTTTGCGACAAACGCAGACTGCAGACTTTCAGACTGGCAGGTAAACGAGGTAAATATTGTTGTGAAATACTCTAACAGATTCGCTATCCCTAAACTAGACTTTGTCGAAGACCTTAAAGTTTAGGGATCAGGGAGTCTGTTAAAACATTTCACGTTTGCTTCCGGGAGACAACAACCACGCTCGCATTCTACTATAACACTGACCTCACCCCCTTCTCCTCAGTTAACTTTTTCATCCTCGAAAACGATGAAAACGATGATCTATATCAAATTGTTAGCAAACTTTTAATTATCGGGCATTTCTATCGTGGTACGTTTTGAACAGAATCGAAGGAAACCATAAACACTATATTACGGCGAAATTTCGGCTCATCAATTCTTTGACTACTCAAAGGCACAAAATTATGGCTACATCTCGCTTCCGGGGGCTCTATACGCTGGACTAACAAACACGTACTGTATTGTACGAAATAAAATTATGTTAGAACTGAAAAGTTTCTACCTTCCTCCGTTTTGCCAAAATCGGAAAAGCCTCTTGTGTCATAGACTGTGACATTGTTCGGCAGCAGATCACAAGACTCCAAAATCTTCGTTCCTTCCCTTCCAGTCGTTTGAGTTACGGCAGGACGCATGTCCATCTCCAAGCATTCGAAGATCGTGTTAATCAAGGCCGATTTTCCAGAACCAGTCATTCCAAAAAGGACGATATTCAAGCGGAAGCCTTCCATTTCCCCGCCGCAGGCATCATCGAACTTCTGGTACCTTCCGACTTTGTAATCCAACAGTCTTTCAACGAGCTGCTCCAATTCTTCGTCTTTCACCGTAGGAGCAGTCGTTGCCATGACTGTTTTGTTATAAATTAGATTATTTTTTCTTCAAAGGCATTCTTTAGCAACTAAAACGATGGATAGTGTGCTAGGGCCACGCTTTTCTTGTTGGCGACGCTTTTAACAAGAAGAGCGTTGCGATTCATTTATTTGAATCCAGTTGACGTCACGAAAGGTTTTTCTGAGAAATACTATTCCTACATTTTAAAATTTTCGGGCAGATGGTTCTCCAAAATGCTCTCAAAAGTGCTCGAATGATAGATAATTAGCTCGTTAAAACTTTGTTAAATTTCTGCTTTCCATTTTCCTCTTCATTGACTCTTTAGTTGTTTCTGCTTTACAAGACGCGGGTGGCTCTGCGATATCCCGTCAAAATAACCTATGGCATTTGGGTTGCCATACCTGTTGATTGAGTTATTTTACATTGGTATCCCTGTGGTGCGGACGGACGGTCGGGCGGTCGGTGTACGGTCACGTGATTACCAAATTTGGTCGGATGGGTAGTTTACCACATTTTCTTACCCATGGTGCTTCGCGCACGAGAGCTCCGCTATAAATAAAGTTTATTATTTATGACTATTATTAATTGTCTGGATGGTGTAGACTAACAAGCACCAAGTGTTTTTTCTTATAGTCCTCAAATTAACGCCACATTCCGTCTGACTGGATGCGGCGTTTATTCGAGGGAGGGCATTTAATCGATTAAATACGGTATGCAGCTATCTGCTGCTGGGTCTTCGAAGATAAAGATGTCTCGCCGGAGTCCTCTCTAAACCTATTCGGAGACAGAATAAATGTTCAAGATCGGGATTATCCCATAACCATCGGAATTACGGGGTTGAGGGACAAAAATGGGATCAAAGAACCTTTGTCCCTGATCGCAGTACGCAAAATTTTGTCTGTTCTGCAAAAAATCTGTCAACAGGAAGCCATTTCTGGTGCTAAAGGTTTCTTTTTTCACCTACCAAAATTTTCTTAAGCGTCGCAAAATTTCAAAGAAACCGTCAAGAAGTTTGGAGGCCTACAATTTTTTGTCAGGCAACAAAATCCTTTCTTCCATGGCAGCTATCCTTCGTCAGGTCATCTTATTTCGCTAACGATACTAATCATGTGATTTAATCGAAATTGACGTAATTTCTTTCGCGTGTCTCAGGTGCAAACAAAGTTACCAAATTTTCAAATGTTTTGCACTTTTTCAAATTTTCAAATTGTTTGCAATTTTTGTGTCGTATTGCGAACACGGCCTAAATTGAGGGTCCCCAATAGGTTTTTCGGGATACGGGATTTCCCTTATTTGAACGGATCGGGATTCGAGATTGAAGGTATGCGCAGGTGGGATGCCAAAAAATAACCATCGAGATTACTCGAAATTTGGGGTCGGGATTAGGGGATCGAAAAACCCTTTTGGGGATCCTCTTATTTGCGTCCCTTTAAAGGACATGTGCACTAGGAAAAGGGTAAAGAACTTACTTTGTTCTCTCGCCTTGTGCTGAACAAACTTGATTATGTCACTGTACATTCCTTTTTCAAATCTGATATCATTAGCTTTTATGACCCACAATATGACATGCATTTGATCCGCAAGAGGAGGTTTTTCAAGTTTGTGAGCACCGACCCCGCCAGTTGCTGCTTTTTCGGCACCCCTGTGGTCTCGCACCAGTTCCTCTCCAGTTCGCTCAATTCCAAAAAGAATACGAAACAGCTCCCCTATTTAATAAAAAAGAATTGCATTGTGACTTGCCCACCAAAATAAAACCAGTCCATCCGAGGCAAGAAAAACTGGTTAGTTCCGATTGGTCGGGTACAAGACCAGAGAGCGGTAGACCCCGTTCGATTCCCGGGTTTACCAACACTCAGGGTCTTACAATAACTGAGGAAAAGGTACTACCTTTGTTTCAAATATGGTAGACCTTCCATCCTTTACGGATAAGGTTGGAAAACCGATAGACCCTTCCTTGAAAGGTAAAAAGAGATACTGGGGATTGGGCGTTCAAAGACAAGGGCCTGGCAGTGACCACCCTTTGTGTGCTGTCCATGGCCTTGAGTGGGTATATTCTGTAGGCTGAGAGAGATCTTAATAAAGTCTGTAAGCAGAGTATGTATGGCAGAACTATAAGAGGTGACTTGGGGTACTTACCATTTACATGGGAAAACTGGAAATTCAGGTTGGAAAATCAGATGGTTCGCGCCTTTTTGTTTGGGAAGCTTCCGAAAACAGGCAATGCAATTTTTCCAGCACTCTTTTAAGCCTGTTCAGCTGATATATTTCATAGTGCGTCGTTCTCCCACCATGTCAAAAGTTATAGTTTTATATTTATGCACAAGATTTCCACCGTGGTGGTTTGAGTAAATGGTAAGCTTCCCAGATGTCAACACTCGGCTTTGATACCACTCAAGACTCACTAAACCTTTGCTTCCGGGAGACAATAACCACCCTCGCCTTCTACTATAACATACCTCACCCCCTCAGCTCATTTTTTCATCCTCGACAACGATGAAAATGCTGATTTAAATCAAATTACTAGAAAAATTTCCAATTATCGGGACATTTTTATCGTTGTACGTTTTGAACAGAAGGAAGTTTGGCAAAGTTTCGGCTCATTAATTTTTTTACTACTTTAAGACACAAATTTATTGTTACATCTCGCTTCCGGGGGCTCTATACGCTGGACTAACAAACACGTACTGTATTGTACGAAATCAAATGATGTTAGCACTGAAAAGTTTCTACCTTCCTCCGTCTTGCCA